TTTTAAAAAATCTCAGTAATAGTAGATTAGAGTCTGGAAATGTGCCCGGTATATGGCAATAGGCTCACCCCCTATTACATGGGACTCATAACATAAATAGTGAAAAGTGGGTGTTACATTGTACAGTCGCATTAAGTGCCAAAATGTGCACCTCTGCCTACCCCTTCGGGGATAAAAAGGCGTAATGTTATGTTATGTAAATTGTATAATAATTTTGTGTTTTTGTAAATACTGAAAGCGATTCAAATCGATGGTAAAATGTACTACATTTGTGTAGGTATTACGGTTAATTTATATCATTAGATTGTTAACTACTATTAGGTACTGTGTAAACAACGGTGAACAGTAAATATTTTTAATTTTAGTTCTTTGTGGATCAACAATTAAGAAAATAACTAATTCATATAAATTTTGAACGACATATTTATATCTGAAATCTGTAAACATAAAAAGAACTAAAATTAGAAATAGACTTTGAACAAATCTATCGTCTGATATTTCCCCTAGTAGCTGATAATTTTTAAATGTTAATTTGTATTTACTGTAAAATAAATGTAATATTGTAATTAATAACTTCTTTGATTTTGCAGCTACCAGACATAGCTAATTCCAATACTACCTTCAATGTACCAACCTGCAAGGTACATTGTTGGTAGTATTGGCATTAGCTAAACTTAGGATTATCTGTAGACGTTAGTAAAAAAAAAAATATACTAGGATCCAATTTTCAGATGGCGTTTCAAATTGATTGGCATAAATTTTTGACGAGTGGCAACTCTTATCCCCTATACTTATTATACTCTTTGAATAGATCCTCCTGGTATATGAAAAACACTGCTGAAAGAAAATAATCGTTAATTGACATTGACATTCTCAGCTGTCAGTTCGATAGTGTCATGTGTGTCGTTGGAAAGATAGCGAAAAAGGAAAGAATTAAATTGAAATGATTGAAAATATTAAATATTTAATTTAAATATATTACCAATACTTTAAAAGTCTTGATATTAAAATTATTTGATTTCATAAAACGAAATTTATATATACGTTTAATTATGTCATATTGGATATATTTACATTGGATTCCTTCGTAATTTAGTTCTCGACTTTCCGGAACGAGGAATTTTGACAACGTTACCGAATGAAACTATATCTGTCAAATCAAAAGTTTTGACATATACCTTTAGAGCTAGGTGGAGTGAATAAATAACTTTTTACTATCTTATACAACTTAATAAAATTGTTCCAATGGAACCTAATATACCTGGATCATCAACATCTTCAAGGGCTACTAGATTTATGATGGAAGGAGTCGGAGCGCGAGTAATTCGGGGTCCAGATTGGAAGTGGGGCAAACAGGTAGACCACTGTTTATTTTCTTAAATAATATTCAAATAAATGTTCTCTCAAAATGTAAACATGTTGTGCTCTTAAACTTAAAATTTAACAATATATCCTATTTGTTGAACAACCTGAAATATTTACATATACACTCAAAACTCATAAGTTTTATGATCATTAATGACAGATTCCATTTCAACAAATCAAAAATTAATTAATAATTGGAATGTTATATTAATTAATTAATGGTTAACTTTATTAAACAGCACTTAGTTAAAACATATGAAACATTCATATTCTATGTACCAAAATATTTGTTGTTGGAATACCTGTATTAAGAATTGTGAAAGATGATGTAAACAAAAATCTTATAGGAATATGTGTGCAGGTTTTTTTTTTGTTTTTTTTTTTTTTTTATAATATTAAAGATTATTTCTCCACGGACTCTAGGTCCGTGCCCTTGTCATACAGTTTTTTAATTATAATACATCTAGTCAATATTTATAAAGTAAAGAGGGAACCTAGTTACATACTACAATTAACTACATCTATAATTATTAGCAAAAGTATAGGTTACATAATAATTAGGCACTATTTATTTATTTCTATTTCAAAGGCTTTATGAAACCAGCCCACCAACACGATGGGAGAGCCGACCTGACCCAGCAGAAGGCACCCGTTCACGAGTATGACGTGTGTGTCAGCAATTGGTCCGGTCAACCTTTTTATTGGGAACGGAACAACCCAACACACAGCGCCACCGACTGTAGGACATTTATGTGTGCATGACGCCTCAACCCTTGCCACATGGGCCGATTCCAATAAAGCGTACAATAGTCCAAAATTCAATTGGTCATATTCTATTTCTACATGTTTCTGCACACACATTTCCTCATGTTGCATTCGTTCCATCACAAGCAACACTCCCCGCCCAAGAGAGCACCCACGACTGCCGCGTCCCTGTGTTTGATGGCCATTTTCAGGTTGTAGTCCTTAATACCTTGCTCACCCTCATCAGCCGCCTTCCTGATTAGTTTGCTTATCGCGTCTTCACTGTTGTCTGTGTAATAGATGCAACCATGCGTGTGACGCGATATTGCTACTACCGCGTGTGGTACGCTGTCATGTATTTGATGTTTCTTTGTTGCTGTGTTGACAACAATCACATTCGCACACGAAAGTCCCTGTGCCTCGTGTATCGTGAGCACGCGTGATCCCACGGTCGACCCGTATCCCTGGTTCTTAAGGGATTCCTTCTCTGCCTGAGTGTGTACCAGGTATAAAGTGTCGGGGAGTGACTTTGGAATCATCGCCCCCGAGAACCTTTTTATCTCGAGGGATCTCACGAACGACCTGGACGAATATATGCCACTGTAAACTGTGCTGAGGGCATACGCCACATCCATTGGATTTCTGTGGGTACACATCAATTCCTGGCTTATGGGCGTGATATATGTAGGGCGGCTGTAGAGTAGAGGGAAGAGGTTATCACGATCTATAAACGGAAGCTGATTTATGTCACCAATTAGAAGGACTTCCTTGGCTCGAGTTATTCGGGCGGCCATCACAACGGCTCCAAAGTGGTTCATGAGAGCCTCATCTACCATTAGGCGATGGCAGCTCTCTCGCTCCCCCAAGCCGTTTACTAGGATGGACGCCATTGTTCGAACCCTAGATTTGACGAGTCCTCCGATTCGGCAGGATAGTTTGCCTCTGAGGTCATTTGCTGCTTCGGTTGTCGTGGTGACAATTAGATCTTGTGTGTATGTGTGCAGGTTTATGTTCTCATTGAAGTATTTTGACTTTATTCATTCTGGACACACATTTTTGTTGGACAAACTTCAATTTCTTTGTATCCTATACCTTGCTAAACTAAAATTCACTCATGGAATCAGCTGGCTACTTTTGATTAATAGAATGTTCAATGTCATCTAGTTATAAACATGTGAAACTTTTTTACAGGATGGTGGTGAGGGGCATGTTGGTACTGTGAGGAATTTTGAGTCTCCTGAAGAAGTAGTTGTTGTGTGGGACAATGGAACTGCAGCCAACTATAGATGTTCGGGAGCATACGACTTGCGCATACTGGACAGTGCTCCAACTGGTGTCAAACATGAAGGAACTATGTGTGATACTTGTAGACAGCAACCCATATTTGGTTAGTATAAACCTTAGTGTCCGACCGAAACTGGTTTTCCGGCCAAACCGAAACCGAATGTTCGGCCGTGGCTTCAGTTTCGGCCGAAACCGAAACCAAAACTTACGTAGTCAAGTATAAAATTTCTTAAGATACTGAAATTTGGTGCATTTTACCTATTATTTTGCATTAATTAGGGCATGAAATGGAAATACAGTGTATTAAGTTTGTTGTAATCATTTATTTAATATAATAATTAAAAAAAATATTAATAACATTTTTATTATTTTTTCAAATTAAGTTCTCATAGCATAATGTTTATCAGTTAACACTAATCAAATCAGTAATTGTTACTGTTTCATTAAATACTAAGTATTGGTATTTTATTATACCCCTATTCTCTGTACTGAATACTTATGTAATTTCCCACAACTTTATGCATTTTCAGAGATTCCCTTTAATGCCTTTATAGCTAATATCTAATTGTCAATTAGTAATTATACGACTAAGTTAAAAAGTTTTTTTTTCTTGTATGGCCTGAGTAAAAAGTTTTATACAGGTTGGCGGTGACATTTTATTTGTCAAATAATGACAATCGTACAGTGCCGCGGGAAACAGAGTTATGCGAACGTGTGTGACATGAGTTTCGGTTTCGGCAAAAGTTTCGGCCGATTTTGGCTGAAACCGAAACTGCCACCGAAATTTGATTTTTGGCCGAAACTCGGCCGAAACCGAAACCGAAACTGAAATTTCGGTCGGACACTAATAAACCTATTTCTGATCAGATTAATTACCAGCTAATAATAATAATAATAATAATAATAAAATCTTTATTTACTAAAAACAAGCTAAATAAAACAGAAATCTTTTTGTTAAGCATCCGGTGATCACTCTCCACTAACTCCATTGTACACCTTCTTTCCTATGTTTAGAGACTACTTTTTTATAAACAAATTTTGGGGATTTTTGGTTTGATATATCAACATATTAAATAACAAAAATACACATAACATCACACCTTTTACCCTTTTTTAACTCGTTGGGTACCGTCATTATAGACACAATTAAAGAACAATAGGTTGCGGTCACCGGTGACCGCTTGGTGTTTGACAGTTTAAGGGGTAGGCAGAGGTGCATACAGAAGTAACACCCATTTTTCACTATTTATGTTATGAGTCCCATGTAATAGGGGGGGGTGAGCCTATTGCCATATACCGGGCACAATTCCAGACTCCGTGCTACTACTGAGATTTTTTTTAAAACCCAGTATTACTTTATTCAACAAAAATATCAAAATTGTTATAGGTATTCGTTGGAAGTGTGCAGAATGCAGTAACTATGATCTGTGTTCAGTTTGCTATCATGGTGACAAACATAACCTCAGGCACAGATTCTATCGTATAAGTGCCCCAGGAGCTCAAAGGTGTCTTGTTGAACCTAGACGTAAAAGTAAAAAGCAAGCAGTCAGAGGCATATTCCCTGGAGCAAGAGTTGTGAGAGGGGTATGTTTATATAGATTAAAAATATTGAATATTTCTACTATTATAGAAAATGCAATCTAAGCAATACAAAATTGATTTGAAAATAATTTTCATTCCAATGAGACAATAAATTGTAAGTGATATGAAAAAATGTTTCAGTAATTAGTAAGATCATATGATATGATACAATACTATATTTCTAGGTTGACTGGCAATGGGAAGACCAGGATGGTGGTAATGGTAGGCGAGGGAAAGTTAATGAGGTACAAGACTGGTCAGCAGCGAGCCCTCGGTCTGCTGCATATGTTGTGTGGGACAATGGTGCCAAGAATCTCTACAGAGTTGGATTTGAGGGCATGGCAGATTTAAAGGTATATTTCATCAATGATCAGTACCTATTCACCTATTGTTATATTTATCCTTTACTGAACAAATACTATGAATGACTGTTATATTATAATTAGATTTGTAATTTTATTATCTGGCATTTCATTGTTTATTTTATATGTTTTCAGGTTGTGAATGATGTCAAAGGCCAAAATGTATATAAGGAACATTTACCACTTTTAGGAGAACTGGGTCCAGGTCGCACTGGGCCTCATGGTTTACAAGTTGGTGATCAGGTTAGTATTCCACTAATAAAATTACCCAGTATATTACCAGGAAACCTACAATTATTTATGGTACATCTACTTTTCGTTAATGATATTATCAGACACATTTTAACAGGAGTTTTATGTACACAGTGGTCCAATTTTCAGATTTCATATTGAATCTACTAAAAACTTAGTAGTTAGCATACTAATTGGAACATATTCCACATCCAAATCCCGACTTCTCGAGCTCAGCAGTCGCGTTAACGTTCTTGATCGTCGCATAGTCCGACATCAACATCAGAATATTGATTGACTGGTGATTAATTTGTTCTATTCTCAATGTTTTCAGGTGAATGTGGATCTTGATCTGGAAATAGTTCAGTCACTGCAACATGGTCACGGTGGTTGGACAGACGGCATGTTCGAATGTCTCGGCACTACAGGAACTGTGGTCGGAATAGACGAGGACCACGACATCGTCGTCACATACCCCAGTGGAAATAGATGGACATTCAACCCTGCTGTACTGACTAAGGTAAATCTATTTTGAAATATAAAGAAATAATTGTATCATCGCGCGTGTTTGTCAAAGGTGTAGGTATTAGGTAATTATTACACTAACTTTTTGCAATTTTTCGATGTGATAGGGGATTACAGCCATACAACATGCACAATTCCAAATTCCAATGACAATTTCCGAAAATTTAAAATAATCAATAACTTTACCCGGGAATCGAAGCCGAGCCCCCTTGCCCGGCAATCACGATTGCGACCAGTAATTCTTTCCATGAGGATAAAATGCTATACCATTGTGCAGGAATGTGAATTACAATATGAATATTTAACAATAGTTACAAGAATTTCTTGGAGAGGAAACAACAAGGAAATAACTATGTAAACTAGAGTAAACAGGAAAACATGTGATACTTTGCTAAATTTAATTTTATAGTTGTGCATATTTAGGTATTATAACAGCGAATGTTTCGGTTTAAAATCAAAATAATTGTTTCTCAATTATTAATTATATTATTATGTTATGGAAAACGAGAATTTCATTGATAACGGCCTAACATAATATTATTATTGCCAGTCGACGTATTACAATAAGAGGCTGGAAATTGGGATGCTCATCAATAGTTAGTCCAATGAACATCATAATTATTATACTACCTACACCAGTTCCAATGTTCACAAGTTCCCTATGGTACGCGCGCCTCAAAGAGCCATCAAACCACCACGGATTGGGCCCAATAAGGCTGATGTCGATACGTGCTGCGGGGAACTTAACAGGTTACGGGGATCTGGCTCGAAGTGCAGGAGTAGAAACGGGGTGGTTTTTAGTCAGTAAGAGTCTGACACTCCCTCCCGCCTCACCCAGGCGGGAGAAGTAATTCGATGATTTTCTCGAAAAAAAATTCCCTCTGGTGTAAGTAGGGGTATTTCCAACTAGCTACTCCCGCGCAGTTTCTCTCGTTACTTGGCTACTATTGGTATAGTAGGATTATAGATTAGATAGATTTGATATAGATAGATATTATGATGTGACATCATGAAGTCCAAAATGCAATTTTATACAAAGATCACCCATTTCAATTGTCTAATTTTATTAATCACATCGTAATACGAAACTAATTCCTGTGGAACTGTCCCATACCTCCGTGTTTCCTGCTTTGTAAGGCAAACTTGTGTAAATAATTATGATTAATCATTGTATTTACAGGAATTCTTTAGACATGAATAATTGTGTATTAAGTTATTTTTAAACAAAGTACTAACGCTTCTGTATTATTCGTTTCCCCTATGCCTAAGTACTTTATAGTATAACGAAGAATTTTTCAAATCAATTGTCGTTTAAACAAACAATCTTATTACTTTAGTAAATAATAAATATTCCTTACTATATAGCTAGCTATTGCTTACTACTTGTTATTTATTCATTTGTGTGCTCGAATTAAGACAATTTATGAACTAGGGACGTACCTATTATGTTATAATTTATGGCAATAAAAACCACATCATGATAATTATTAAAATTAAATAGTCTTTATTAAACAATGTGATTCTTAAATGTGGAATGCCTAACCTTATACAGGAGCTCTAACAATATTTTATGAAATAAAAATCCTACTAATCCTACTTACTACTAATATTATAAATGCGAAAATTTGTGAGGATGTGTGTGTGTTTGCTACTCTTTAACGTCAAAACGGGTGAAGGGATCGAGATGAAATTTGAAATAGAGATAGATTATGGTCTAGAATAATACATAGGCTTTTTATCTTATATGAACGCGGGTGAAGCCTCTGGCAGAAGCTAGTAAAACAATACAATAATTATAACGGTTGACGTTGTAGGTGTGCAGCGGTAACCTGAGTGCCTCTGCGTCGTCGAGCGGTGCGGGCGGCGGCGGGTTCGCAGTGGGCGACCTGGTGCAAGTCTGTGCGGACCAGGAGCGAGTCAAGACGCTGCAGCGGGGACACGGCGAGTGGGCGGAGGCTATGGCACCAGTGCGTTACACACTTTTATTATAATTGTGACGGATTTTTTTTGGACAAGCCCGCCTCTGCTTCCCAAAACTGCTGCAAATCCTGTAAGCCACGATCTACAGTAGATACAATCATGGAAACACCGGAACCACGGACATGGATAACTGTCTTGGTTCCCGCAACAAAGTGAATCAGGAGATATAAGAGGAGAAGAAAAAACGATAGTTTCCACTTCTCTCGGTGAATTTCTGCAGACTTAATACATTCTGTCCCAGAATGCGTTAAGTTTTAAGGCAGGCTTGGTGACGGAATAAAGACTGGAGAACTTCGTAATAACAGCCCAGCCATCGCAGTACTGGGTTAACTGGACAGCAGCATCATCAATTTTTCAGCACTACCTAAGTCATCTGCTAAGAGCATTATGACAACCGCCTTAAGAATTTTTCCCTTTTTCGAATGCGAATGTCTTCGTTCTTATGATGGTATTAATTTTTACTATCCCAAAGGATAAGCAGAAAATCTAAGTGTGCATGTTATAAGTACCTACCGTTCAGGGTTCGTAATTTTACTCAAATGACAACACGTTTCCTCTTCCTCAGACACTTGGCAAAATAGGTCGCGTTCAACAAATATACCATGACAACGACCTCAAGGTGGAGGTGTGCAATACATCGTGGACGTACAACCCTAACGCCGTCACTAAAGTCGCGTCCTCCGACGGGAGCATCCCTGGCAACTCATCAGGTAAGTATTTGCTTATTTGTTACTAACTCGCAGATGTCTTAGCTTAACAATAAAGCAATGTTGGCTTACAAATGTATGCTAAACTTTTAAGTACATTTCTACGAATACTACTTGAGAGTAAAACGTTAATTAGGGTCGCCTTACATAGTGGCCAGTTTACACTAGTCTTCACTGTAAGCTTTGTCGAAGTGAAAACACAATTTAATTAGTAAAAAGTTCCACTGCCACACAACGCGCATTCTGCAATATAGCTATAAAGCTTTCTTTGGCTGAACCTATGTGTACCGTGTATTTGCTTAAAAGCAAATAAACTTTCAGTTAGCCGACACAAATAGATCAAACGGTGGAGGATGACGTGCTGACGAGGCTTCCGTTTTAGAAAAGGTTAATTTCAATAGAGATTTTTGATCTGCACTGGTCATGTCTAGGAAACTATTGATATTGAAATATTTAACCCATAATCTAACGTCTGTCGGCATTTTCTAAACTCTAATAATAATTTCAGGGGAACGTCTGTCAGCACTATTGAAGAAGTTGTTTGAATCCCACGTGACGGGCGATGCTAACGAGGAGCTAGTGAAGGCGGCCGCTAATGGCGACGCGACGCGCTGCGCTGAGATACTCGGACGCACTGATGCCGCGCATGTTGATGTTAACGGCTTCTACGGGGGACATACTGCTTTACAGGTATGTGGCTATTTAGCAAGTAGAAAGGGTCGTTTGTGATTTTAAATAGACAGGCAACCATCTAACTTTTCTGGTATTGCAACATGGACACCCTCTTGAGCAGCATTTTACGCTTACCATCGGGCGATCAGTGTGCTTATTGGCCTTCTATGTCGTAAAAAATACAGTACATGTAGTTGGACAATAAATGTTTTTTTTTAAATGAATCTTAACCTATGTAAATTTGATTGGTTAGGCGGCAGCGCAAAATGGTCACGTAGAAGTGATCCGGGCGCTGGTAGAAGCTGGGGCAGATGTAGACGCAGAGGATCGCGACGGAGACCGCGCCGCTCACCACGCGGCCTTCGGGGACGAGCCGGCCGCACTGCGCGCGCTGGCCGTGGCCTCCGCCGACCTCAACGCCCGCAACCGCCGCCGCCAGACGCCACTACATATCGCTGTCAATAAAGGCCACCTTGGCGTCGTACGCACTCTACTGCAACTCGCCGTGCATCCTTCACTGCAGGTAAGCTCCCATTTACTAGCCCATTAAGCCAGGCACTCATTTTTGTCAGCTATTCCCTCTGAGTCGATATTTCATAAGATGCTTTAAATAACTTTACCATGGAGCGTCGTGAATATCACATGCAGCGCCGGTGGTGAGTTGAGCAGTGGCGGCTGCCCAACTGTCATTTCCTCCCGATTAAAACCTCATGTAATGTAGAATTATAATACTTTGATGAAGGAAATTGTCAGCTGGTTATAAAGTGGTGGCTTGAACTAATGTTGGTCTCACTATTTGATGCACAACGACACCTCGGCGTTGTGCATCCTCTATTGCAGTCTACTACGTTGTAGGTGACACCCCCAAACTTAGGTATATACCATTATGAGGTGACCTAGCAGAGATCAGGCATAGAACCGACGGCTCAACATGCTATAAAGGTAAGGGACAAGTGATAAATAAATATCGTAATTAATTTGGACACTCGAAACTTAGGAAAACTCAAACATGTTCGAATCCGAGACCGCTGACTTTATAGTTCGGAACTACTTGCACTTACCGTTTCACGGCACACAACTCTAATAAGCTGTATGCACGTAAACTTGTTTATACAGCCATGAACGTAGGTGAGATGGAACATATAACCTGAAGTGTTGCTGTTTACTTTCCTTCACTCGACTCCTCGTAAACAACAGTAGTTAACTTCGCCGCCGCGTCTAGGTCCGGCAATGTGGTTATAATAAAGTTGGTTAAATATGTATTAGGAATTTAACTTCACACTCGTAAATACTGCTTTTCAGCTTCACTGCTTAGCTAGTAGTTTCGTTACCTAAAAGTGTTTGTGTAGCATGTTTCACCACATGTTTTCTTTTCAATACATGCTAAACAGAACAGCTAGCATGACCGAAAAAATTTTAATAGATTTGGAATTTTCCGCTTTACGCAAAGTCCAGTGAAAAGCCTGCAATGGTTGAAGAATACGTTTAACGAGTCAATATTTAAGAAACTATGATTTAAGATGCTGAAGATTTCCGTTTTGTTTGTGAAGGTAGAGCACGAATAATCGCGTAAAATAACCGTTTCTACGAAATAATATTCGTTCGGAATATAAAGTAGCTGAACAGCAGCATCGTTCGCGTAAAGTTAGCGCTGAAACTTTCCTCGTTGCTCTTTACTCAGAAAGTGTGTGTCTGACTATCAGAAAGTGTTTGTGTTACGAACTGACTATGAATAGGATTTGTAATTTATTCATTCATTTAATTTAATAAATCTCAAGAAGAGCTTTATAGCGTTATAACGATAAATGGATTTTTAAATGAGTGTTACTTGAAAAGAAATCGAAATAGAAATTTGGAATTTACATAAAAGTATTTCTTCCGTGTAAAAATAGATGGACATAAATACGACTTTTACCAACTTGTTTGTATGTGACTGGGATTCGGACGCTCCGACTTGTTTCAACTTGGGCGATCCATTACAAAGGCACACAACATTGTAACTTATACACGACTAAACTAAATCCTCGTACTGCTCGTCTTTTCTACAAGGATAATCCGACCTAAATAAACGAAAAAAGTGACTAAGTTCTTACATCCTACGTACAAATAAATATAAATAAATGACATAAATATAGTTCCTAAGTATATGTATACTAAAGATATCTATTATCTAGGAGGAAAGGTCAGAACATTTGGTTTAATATTAAACTTAATAATCGGATATTTCACGTATACGCTACGATAAAATACCTTGTAAAAAGTACATTGTCGTGGTAGCTACTTTTCTTAAATGAATTTTACATTATTTATACAACTACTTAGTTGAAGACTACTCCTTTCTCTATACAGGATGTCTAATCTGTACCTATGTTAGGTACCGAAAAACGGTTGCAATATTTCATGAAAGAAATTCACAACAACCTTTTCTGTAACGTAAATTAAACATATTCAAAACTGAGTTTTATAAGTTACGTATTCGTCTCTACTTTCTGTAAGTCCACTCAATATCCTATTTAAAGAGTAATACGACGTTGGGTAGGTGCCTACTTGTATATTCTGTGATAAGTTTCCCTGTATTTTCGTATTCGAACTAAGAGTACTCGAGAAGAGGGGAAATCTAACTACGTTATTTGTTTAGATGTTCTTGAACACGGAGCGAAGCAGTTGGCGTGGCACAGTTAGCTTGCTACTTATTAAACTTACCCGTTTGTTTACAGACTTCGTGATTTAATTATCCTAAGACATTTTTCCCTACTTGTTTTTGTTGAAGTTGTACTAGGTGGAAGTTTATCGTAGGTAAATGACGAACATTGTATAATGTTCCGTTTGAGCCGTATAATTGATTACGATGTTTAACCAAAGGGCACTTGAACTATCGGGGAAGTCTTAACTACGCTATTTGTTTAGACGCTGTCTCGAACATTAATCCCCATCTTATTCAGCGCTTGGCGCGGTATTTCCCGGGACCCGTGTCTCTTGGACTTTTAATCTAGACGAGTTGAGTTTCAGTCGGTAATGAGTGTAGCGACGCTCTCAGACATGCGGTCGCCATAATTGCCAAACTTTGTGCCGCCCTAGACCCCGCACCCCTCTGCTTGTCGCGCGCCATTGTTCGCATGGTAACGCGTGCGGTAGATGCCTTTGCTCAACGCCACTTGTAAGTTCACACTAAATTAAGGATGATTACGTACGATACAGTTATAAATTATCCCGTTACATTGTTATTGTTACCCATGTCTAGGTATGTTCAGAGGTAGGTATACATGCACAACACGTTATATAGCCACCGACTATTGCCACTGTATCTTCATTACTCTGACCCCAAACAGTTGGATCTGTCTTGGATCTACGTTGAAAATTGATACGACGTTCTTCACGGGTTTCCGTGCTATAATTCCGCCATAGTAATGCCGAACTTATTATTTTTGTGTTTATTTTTTGTAACAGATATCGACGTTAATTTAGTTCCAGTTTTACATCGTCAAAATAAAGTCAATAGCAATTTGAGGTGCCCTTATCATTCGTAGTAAAAATAAATGCATAATTTGTTGGTCTAACTTTAAATCTAAATATCTCGTTGTTTCTGTAGAGTTTTCATTTATTTCACTTATTTATTAAAGTTTACAATAAGTCAACGAAAAAATAATAATTAGACCCCCTCTTAAATACCGTCCAAACCTAAATCCTAAACCTAAATTATCTTTGGAACAAGTAAAACAACCAAGACCTCTTTTGTGGTTGGTTAATTAAAAAGATTTGCTTAGCATCTGGATTTGTGATCACAGTATTATGCGTATCCCTGTTAAGGTGGATATTGCTGCCCATCAACGTGTAATAATCCTCCAATCGCCTATTACGACCCCCACAGGGATGGAGGGAGCGGCTTATGCTCTTCCAGGTACCTGGCGACATGTTGCTAAATAAACTGAATTAAAAGACCAGGATTTGTAATAAACGTAAAGGTCGTAGGTATATAATTATGTATGTATGGAGGTTCAGTGTGTGTCTCTGCTATCCTGACGACCTATGATTTTTTTATACTAGCTGCTACTGCGCGGTTTCACCCGCTGCTCGGTCCCTATTGATCATAGCGTGATGTTTTATAGCCTTCCTCGATAAATAGACTATCCAACACAAAAATAATTATTGAAATCGGACCAATGGTTCCTGAGATTATCGCGTTCAAACAAACAAACTCTTCAGCTTTATAGATTAGTATAAGATAGTATAAGATTTAGTTTTGCAATTATTCTATACCAATATATATATTGGTAAGTATATTTTTTAAGGCAAATATTTCATACAAGTGATGACTACTGATATGACTGATTAGTTTATAACACTTAATTAACAACATCTATCACATTGCGTATTTCTTTCACTGTTATCTACTATTAATTAAGTATTTCTATTTCAGAAATCTTCCCTAGAAATTATCGGCCGTAGGATATAATAAATTCTTGGAAGATTATATTTAACTCAGCTCATAAATATTTTCGGAACGTAAAACTCATGGAGTTCGTTAAATTGTTTCGTGAAGTATTCCGATGCGAACTTATCTCTAAAATCTTTGTTTAATTATATAACTATTCTCTCGAGCTACAGCCATATTGAAGCGCAATTGGGCGTAAAGCTATTTAAATCTGAATAGGGCATTGTGAAGACGCGTCACCTTGATTCAGCGACGAGTTTCGTCCTTAATAAAGTTAGAGTGCCGCCGCTCGCGGACACCCATTCTGTCCGCCGCACCGCCGCCCACCGCTGCCTCGGGCGACTCTCCAAATCATCTTGTACGGACTAAATGCCTTCCTCCAACCTCTTTACACTCCGCTACCTAGTCTATGTGCAATGGACCATGTGTATTTGTATTAGACACAAAGGGACACTGATTACTTTGATTGTATAAGTATGGTTAGACTGTCATGTTCTGTCATGACACTATTAGGGTTAATAATGTATGAATTATTTAACCTATATAAAACACTACCGTCTATGTAAATCGTACAGTCAATTTGTGTTTTGTAAAAAAATATCACAATAACATTTTATCCTATTTACGTATATACGCAATTCAAATGATTCTGTAACGAACAAAATTGGTCCTTACCGTGTAAGAAAAATAGCTTCCATTACATTCACACAACAAATAGATTGTAATTGGGTTTCTGCCAGTGTGAGATGTATACGGTGCAGATTTGTTATGTGTACTCAATATTACATTGCTTTGTTACGCTTAGAAGACGGTGTCAGAAGTCAGCAGAGGCGTCTGTTACGTAAATATCGGCTGGGCGTGTTGCGAATAGGACAGAATACACGATGAGGGGAGGACGAAAGTATGGCCCGTTTATTCTGTATAAGTAAATGTATTCAACAACGAGTTAAAATAAGTTTATGTTCACTTCTTTACGTGACAAAAAACCCAATAGTGCGTATGAAAGTTCTTTACGTACCCATTTAATGTTCGATAAAATGTTGTATTAAAAACAGTTTTATGTAAAACTGCTTCGGTACGTAGGTATAGGG